TATGTCCGCTACCACATGACCGAACGGTTCCCTGCGCCGGCTGGATGGATTTGTACCATTTTCAACGTGTCAATTACATTACAGAGCTCACAGGGTTTACTTAATGAAAGGTCAACATCTTGCGTAACATTTCCTTTCGCCAGAGACGTTGCGACTGCTCACTGCGTGTATTTTCCAATGATAATCGAGCCGGAATATATACATTGTTTAACCCTTTCACATTTCACTTTTCCTCCAGTATTCTGACCACAAGACCAGTCGGGTCGAACCGCCGTCTGAACAGCTCGGCGGGCGCCACTTCCGCTCAGTTCCGCGCCCGCGGGGCACCCCGCCTCCCGTGCCCGGCGAGCGCGCCACGGCGGTGCGCCATCACGCCGCAGGTTCCGTTTCTCGCCGCCGGGCGTCGCCACATCCGCCCGTGGCGCGTCGCGGAGCGCTGGGGGTTGGGGCTGGGTGGAGGCGACCTCAGGTCGGCGTCTGACTTGGTCGGCGGGGGTACACCCTACCGCTCGGCCAGAAGTTGCCCGAGCAGCGCCGGGTCCTGCCACAAACAACAGAGATCAGTGCCACGTAGTGATGTGCCATTGGGGCTTTACGACGCGCTCGGCTGCTGAAGCATATGGCGTCGTCCCTCATCCCCCACCCACCCTGACAGGAAGGTCGGACACCATGGGAAATCGAACCCAGCGTCTCTTGTTTCCCAAACCAGCAGGCTACCCACTACACTGTTGGTAGCATTTCTTATCCGGTTGGAGGTTTGAGAGAAAAGTGGCTTCAATCCGGTTAGAAACAGCTTTTAGTGTGCTTTGGGGGGTTTAGCCATTGTCCCTGCTCAATCTCCCCTCCACCCACCCACACACACAGCGGGTACTCTGGTGCTTCCGGGGGGGGGGGGGGGGCAACGGGCACTCACTCTTGTACGCTTTACACACAGAAGACAACGCATTGCTAGAGACGCACTGGGTAGGCAGTGCGGGCAGAGGTAAAAAAAAACAAAAACAAAAAAACATGGACAGTGCTATAGTGGTAGGCGTAAATGCGCACTCCTATACAGCCACGAGTGCGTGACATTATTGTGCTGTCAGAGACGCAGTGGACCTAAACTACCAGCAACACGGTCATATCTATTGATACATTTTTATATGTATATATATATATATATATATATATATATATATATATATATATATACATATAAAATATATGAATATATATATATATATATATACATACATATAAATATATGAATATATATATATATATATATATATATATATATATATATATATATATATATGTATATATATACATACATATAAAATATATGAATATATATATATATATATATATATATATATATATATATATATATGTATATATATATACATACATATAAATATATGAATATATATATATATATATATATATATATCAAGTAGCATGCGAACCACAAGGAGCAGCGTGGGAGGATAAATCTCCGGAGCTCCCGAGACACGTTTGAGAATCCCAAATCCAAAATGGCATGTCAAGCATGTCGGTATTCTTACCACAGCAACTCGTGCATCGTCGTAGAATTGTGGCGACTTGGCTCGTTTTCCGAACCTGCAACAAAACGAAAAGTTAGGTGCTGCCAGTTTCATTAACCCTGTCAGTCGGCGTTTTGGGCAGTTAGGTCAGTGGTTTTGTTTGTTTGGTTTGTTAAGGCAGTGATTTGCGTTTTTTGTTTGTTTGTCAAGGCAGTGATTTGTGTTTGTTTGGTTTGTCAAGGCAGTGGTTTGTGTTTGTTTGGTTTGTTAAGGCAGTGGTTTGTTGTGCAGCTGGCTTCGCACGGAATTGAGCCCCGTCTCTCGCATTGCACACCCGAAGCTCAGCATGCAATGAACCCTCGTCAGATAAGGAGGGGGTTCCAGCTCTTTCAGCACCCTGTGAGTGCGCCACTGCCCTCGTCGGGCAGGACGTCATTACATTGACAGGTGGCGTGGTAATGATGCTGTTCGCTGGTAAGTTCACCCATTTTGGTATAAATTCAGCCCGAACATTTTGGTTTATAATGTGGATTCCTGGACTGAGAGTTCACGTTAAGCAGTGCTTATTGTGTGAGCTCTTATATCATAATCCGGTGATGAAGCTCTATTTTAAGGAAGCAATTTTGTGACAAAATGTTGTCATCCCGCAATGCTTGATACGGTCCACCTGACCTCTGACCGCATCTGACCTTGAGCAGCCGCTGCCACCGGCCACGGGACATCCCAGCCAAAGAAAATGCAGAGAGTGCTAAAGCGGCTTGAGCTCATCCACCTCACCGGGGGCGGGATGGCGGGCGGGTGCTCTAACCCACTGAGCTACGGGCGGGCCATTAGCACCCAGTGTCCCGTATCTCTCGGTTACGGGCACTAAACGGGCAATCCCCCCCCCCCCCGTGTGTCCTGAAATAACCTCACCTCGCCTGAGCCCAGTAATACATGTATCGAACACATAGCTGGGTGGTCTGCTGCATGCACGTATGTTCTCCGTGCGTTTTTTTCTCCTTTGAAGAAATTCCCTATTTACGCCAACAGAGTATGCCATCCGAAACAGTGAAATACATTTCCTTGACGCGAGATGTGGTGCCAGCGGTGGGTATTGGGTATACAACGCCAGCGTTGGGTATTGGGTATACAACGCCAGCGGTGGGTATTGGGTATACAACGCCAGCGGTGGGTATTGGGTATACAACGCCAGCGTTGGGTATTGGGTATACAACGCCAGCGGTGGGTATTGGGTATACAACGCCAGCGGTGGGTATTGGGTATACAACGCCAGCGGTGGGTATTGGGTATACAACGCCAGCGTTGGGTATTGGGTATACAACGCCAGCGTTGGGTATTGGGTATACAACGCCAGCGTTGGGTATTGGGTATACAACGCCAGCGGTGGGTATTGGGTATACAACGCCAGCGGTGGGTATTGGGTATACAACGCCAGCGTTGGGTATTGGGTATACAACGCCAGCGGTGGGTATGGGTGCACAACACCAGCGGTGGGTATTGGGTGTACAACGCCAGCGGTGGGTGTTGGGAATATAATGTCAGCGGTAGGTATTTGGTATATAACGTCAGTGGTGGGTATTGGGTATACAACACCAGCGGTGGGTATTGGGTGTAAAACTCCAGCGGTGGGTATTGGGTATACAACGCCAGCGGTGGGTGTTGGGAACATAATGTCAGCGGTGGGTATTGGCCAATTAAAAAAGCAGCCTTTTTGCTCCCTATGAATTTTGGGACTTTCTATTACACATTGCATCAGCAAGGTTGGTCTGCTGGATATGCGGGTGCGGAACAGATCGGAAAACTACGTGAGCTGCGCGGCGACATGTCCGAGTGGATTCCAGGGTCCATGGTTGACAGGATAGGGTTCAGAATTGACAGGACAGGATCCAGGGTTGGCAGGGTCCGACGTTGACGGACACGGTCCAGGGTTGACAGCATGGGGTCCCGGGTTGTCAGCCCAGGGTCCCGGGTTGACAGACAGGGTCCGGAGCTGACAAGGCAGGGTCCGAGGTTAACAGACATGGTCCAGAGTTGACAGGGCAGGGTCCAGGTTTGGGCCTGCCATTTGTATTGTAATCACACTATATCATGGTGCATGGCCACCGTCTTTGCACACGATAGATCATGACGTCACGGAACATTACCGTTGTGGCGCGTAGGGGGGAGGAGGTCATGACTATGGGTAGATGTGAGCTTTGGATATGGTGGGCTACGTGAGTGCCCGGGATCGATGGGTAGCAGCTGGATCTGAAAGGCTCGGGCTGAATGCAGGGAAAGTCGAAGTTTGGACTGAATGGCATTCATGTGGCTGGTTAAATCTGTTCCTTCTTCTGATCGTAACGCATGAATAGGCAGCCAGAGGGACCCGTTTAAATAGCCCAGTGACGCACAGAACCATACGTTAACTCCAGAAAACAAAAAGAACAAGTCGCGGCGTTTCCTGCTAAGAGGTGGCAATATGCGTCGAAAGATGTAAAATCGGAACCTAACTAGCGCTACGCATGCATGCAGAACAACAACAACATTTGAATAGTTATTGCTTAAGTCACCAATGACTGTCCACTGAACCACCTCCGGTCGAAGAAATCTCAACTGGCCACATTCACACGTGTGCTCGCCGTCTCCAAGAGCTTATTCAGGTAGGCGGAGCCAGCTGTTGGATGCGCTCATGGAGCTAGCGGCGTTTAGGGGTGACATCTATCCTGATCACCAGGATAACGAGTTCATTCTAGAGTTAGTTGGTATCTGTTGGGTCGCCAAGGTGTTTTAATTAACTCTGATCCGCCCAGGAGCGTTCGTGTTCGGGCGAGTTCGCATCGGCCGAATCGCTGACGACCTCAGATAAGCTCGGATTCTGCGAGCGTTCGTATCATGTAAAATGTTGCTGATGGCATGAAGTTTAAATATCATTACAAGCACCTTTTGGATGTGCTAAGGCACGGGTTTGTTCCAAACACATCCGCTGTGTATCCAGTATGTGGGCATGACAAGTTCAGAGAAGTATCTGGGTAGTCTGATAGGCTGTGCGTGATGTTTTGCTCCCCATTATCCAGCTGTGAGAGCCACATTTGAGCCGTCACGTTACAGTGAGATGATGTGGCTCATCTTAACTGATGTCGGCCCATAGCAGCGAGTGGTGAAAGTGCTTTCCGCAACTGGGAGTGACCGCGGACAGACCCAGCGTGGGACCAACTTTTCCAAGTTTATCTCAGATGAACAATATCATCAAACTGCGACGCAATAGTTCAAACAGTGCCTACATGCCTAGGGTGGAAAACAGCACTCTTAACTGAGCTGATGACATCACGTGACACAAATTGTGTGTGCAGGTGAAAAACACCTGTTCCACATGGAAGCCGTTCATGAATTATGCAAAGGGCAAGGGGGAGGAAGGGGTGATGGATCGTGACGATCCGTCACAACAGGCTACGTGAAAGGGGCTGCATGTTGTTCTGTTTCGTAACAAAATGAAACGGCGGGGCACCTCCGACTATTTGTTTACCAAGCGTGATGTCACGTTTCTTCATTCTATTTCCTTCGTTCCCAACCCAAATAAATGTAGCACAGCGCGACGCAAGGTGTCTTTACACTATATCGATGTTTTACAAACCCTGGTTGCCTTAAGCCGACGCGCAGGATGTTAAGCAGAGTGATTTATTCGCATGCATTTTTCCAAGCCGACCGTTTGAACTCAGAAAAAGACTGGCGTTTCAGTCGTATATGTAAAGAAGCCTAAATTAAAAGTAGGCGGCTCGTTGTTTCGCGGACCTAAACTGTAAAGGCATCCAGGGTGGAGGATCTAATGCATTTCACGTCTGAAGAAAACGCGTAGGAATTCGGGATCAGAATTCGGCAAATTAAAGGCGCTCTTTCGGAGCCAATTTTGTCATCTTTGTGGCCGACAGTGCAGAATAGAGGGCTGCTAGTGCTCTTTCCGGATACATGCCGGTAGGAATACACAGAACAGTTGTGCTATGTTAAAACATGGCACACATCAGATTCGCTCAGTTTTTATGTCTGGGGAGAATAAGAGCCCCACACTTCTGTTAAAGTAGAGTGATGCCACCTAGATTATGTGCCCAGTGTGCGTGCACGATTTGTTCCTTACCATAAATGCTCAAGCTCCCCAGTCTTACTGCTCATCGAAAGCATTCGGCATGGTCGAGCAAAACATCAATCACACAAAATCTCCTCCGGAGAATATTGAAATGGAGGTGTCCTTGATGTGTAACACCAGGCGACAGAAGTTATCCCCACACCAAATAAACTTTGCACATGGCAGGGTAACACGAATGGGCTGCCGACTTGACTCTTGGCGCCTTCAGAGTTATGACTTCGGTACCTCTGAAAGGTTATGATTCTGGCCCACCGAGAGGAAAGTGCCAGCTTGTGGTATTTTCATCACGGCAGTGCTTTAGTTCATAGCGATGTGGCCGCCAACATGCGCAAAACGGCGATTCTTTAGGTTGTGGTCGAAGAATTGATTGTGGGTTATATTTATCTGCCGTTTCGAGGTGAAACAAAGTGGGGGCTTTTAGTGTGCAAATGCCGTTAAGGCACATGATGGAGTATGCAAGAGCGGTTAGATGGTGGTGTCAGAAGCGGGTGGTAGTGTCAGAAGCGGGTGGTGGTGTCAGGAGCGGGTGGTGGTGTCAGAATCGGGTAGTGGGATCAGAACCGGATGGTGGTGTGAGAAGCAGATGATGGTGTCAGAAGCGGGTAGTGGGATCAGAACCGGATGGTGGTGTCAGAAGCGGATGGTGGTGTCAGAAGCGGGTGGTGGTGTCAGAATCAGGTGGTGGTGTCAGAAGCGGAAAATGGTGTCAAAGCGAGTGGGTGTGTCAGAAGCGAGTGGGCTGTTAGAGGCCGGTGGTGGTGTCAGAAACGGGTGGTAGTGTCAGAAGAGGTTGGGGTGTCAGAAGTGGATGCCATCAGAAGCATTCAGGTGGTGGTGTCAGAAGCGGTCAGGAGGTGGTGTTAAAGGTGGTCAGGAGGTGGTGCCAGAAGCGGTCAGGTGGTGGTGTCAGAAGCTGTCAGGTGGTGGTTTCAAAAGAGGGTGAAGTGCCAGAAGCA